GGGAGGAAACCAAAGCCGCTGAGCCGGAGAGCAGGACAGGCTTTGGTTGCTTCCTCCCTCCCCTTCTTTCATTTGTGTCCTTGATCCCTGATCCCAGCAGCATTCACCGAAGGCGAAGAAAGCCGCCATTTTTATTTTATTTTTATTTTCTTTGCGGCCCGGTACCAAATGATCCACGGACCGGTCTGCGGCCCAGTGGTTGGGGACCCCGGATTTAAATAAATATAAGATAGTCTAATAACTTCTGAAGTACAATTATTGTAGTCTCCTGTAGCAAAGAGTTTTATAACATATTAAATACAATAAACATACTCATAGATGAAGAAAATGTCATATTTAATTTGTGGAATATTGTTTTCATTTAATTTTACAGGAAGACCTGACAACAAAAGACATTGAAAACATAATTGATGAACTGAAAGCTGGAAATGTTCCAAAACCTGGACCAAGGTATATTATTTACATAATAAAATACCACGAGAAAGCAAAAAATAAAATAAAAAATAAAACACCTACTAAAACAATCCTGTAGTGGCAGGATTGTGGCCCCCAACCTTTTAGGCATTGGGAATACTGGGGTAGGGGACCCCTGTTGTAGAAAGTTCTCAGGATATTTCAGTTTGAGATTAAATATAAAATCTTATTACAAAGACATTTTGCTTTTTATGTTCCATGCTGTGGTGGCCTACAAGAAGCTGCTACTAAATTATAAGAATCAGAGAAAGGTGTTTGTAGACATTTTTGAGAATATCAAGCATTTGCCAAATTTTATTGCAAATAGATTGCTTTCTTATATATGAAATATTTGTATCATTTCTAAATATGGTAACATTCTTTCAAGTGTTTAATTTGGTAGCCCCATATCCCCAAATTTTAGATGTTATATGATTTTTCTAGGCAAAGTTTCAACCAACAATTATCAATGTATTTTGATGTTGTATAGGAAAAGGTTTATTAAATGTATTTGTTAGGTATATTGCACTGTGTATCATTGATTTGTGATGATGATTTGGTTAATTTTCATCAAATTCTGTTTTTTGAAATTTCAGGGGTTTTTATTAGTTGTTGAGAAGCCATTTTCTTTTGTTACATGATGTTAATGCTGTTCCTTTTAAGAACAAAGATATGTCTATAGGAAATGTGGGAAAGTGTTCAAGATGGAAAAAGAAAATAATATTCTTATTAGATAGTCATAGATTCTAATTTTGTTCAGTTACACTTAAGTAATTCTTACAGATTTCAGTGGATTATACTCAAGCAGATATATACAGAACTTTAGTGTGCAGGCAGTTCTCAATTTATGACAAGTTGCTTAGCAACCATTTGAAGTTACGAGGGACGTTGCCAAGTGTACTTATAACCCAATTCTAATGGCTAGCCCCCCCTTCTCCAGGTTCACATGACTACATTTTCAGCTCCTTGCAGTCACATTTACTGGCATTTATAAGTGATATTTATTTCTGGTTTTCAGTAAAACTAGCCCATTGTCAACAGTTGGTTCCCTTAATGACTGTGGCGGTTGCATAACAATCACTCAAAAAAAAAGTTATAAAATTAGGTTGATCATGCGGTGACTCACTTTACAACTGTCATGACTTACAGCCATAACGGGCAGGCTTCATTAGTCATAAAGTTGAGCATTATCTGTAATCAGAAATAATGTGTACTTTTGGCAGCTAAAAACCCCCAGCCCCACATTTCTATTTCTTTCCATAACATTCTATCTTGTATTGAACTAGAAGATGCTTAAAACTAATCATCAAAAGTTGAAACAGATTTTTGTTGATGTTTCAGAATGACTAAAAATATACTGAACAATGTCTAATATTGAATTTCTATTTCTTTTCAGAAGTGGACGTTTCTCTTGTGAGCCATCTGGTGGTCTGACTTCTCTGACACAACCACCCAAAGGACCTGGTTTTGGAGTTCGGTCAGATCTTTAAAACTATTGTTCTACGTGTAAAATCATTGAAAAAATAAATTCTAAAATATGGACAATGGAAATTCAAGTTTATATTGTTATTTTAAACAGGCTAAACATGTATTTTATTTGTTAGAAACAAGAAATGGAAGAACCAAATTCCAGTTATTCAGAAGCAGCAGTGTAGATCAACTACATTTATAATTATTCATGAATAGTTATATAGATATTTGTTTCCCTATATTATATGTGACACATCAGAAGTACATAAAATAAATGTAATGGAAAAGATAGCATACTGTTCATTAATTACAAGATTTTGCAAACAAATGAATCTCTTTGGCATCCTACAATACAGGATTAATTGGTATACTGATGAAGTAGCCAGAATGCTATACAACTTCTTTGGAGATAATGGCACAAAGAGAATTTTTAAAAAGTGTGATTCTGAATAATATTCTTACAAAAATACTTGTCTACTGTTAAATGAGAACCGAAGAAAAATTTTAGTCTTAAAAAAAAGCCTTGCACTGATTGCCTATTACTTTTGAGAGCATTGCCTTTCCACAAACTACTAAAAATTGAGTTGGTCTGGAGTCTTTTAAAAGAACTGACATCACAGTGACTTGTGTTACTGTGTCCTTTGTTTTTATTATTCATTTATTATGCGTGTTTTATCATTATGTATGTAAAGTGCTGTCCTTTTATTGTGACAGCAAATCAGGCAAATAATTAATTAAAATGACATATCTATTAATGCCAATTATACCTGTTTTTGAAGTATCCACCCCAAATGACTACCAAAAAATTAAAAATGTAGACAATTCTGCACCATAATGTGTATTTTATGTGTATTATACTTTTATGTGTATAAAACTTAAATTGTACATTACCCAGACATATACATAAAACAGGTAGTTTATAAATTTTTTTAGTAAATAAATGGAAAAATGTTTTTAATTTCTAACAGGAAAATGAATTAATCATCAATTTGTCCAATAACGTCAGTCTGAAAAATACCAAACTATATATCAGATACAATCATGTATATCAGACATACAATCAAAGAACTAAGAACAATAAGTTTTATTGCATACTCTTCCCAATAGGTTAGAGGCATAGTTTGGTCGGAATCTTAATTCTTCTGTTGCTTGCCATACTTCTGAAGATATCCATAAATTCTTGTAGTTTTCTGTTGTGGTAATGATCATAATGTGATCTAAATTTATCTTCTAGTAGTTTCTTATAAATAGGAAAATCTAAAGTATTTTGAATGCTAATATACCGATTGTATAAAATTTCAGTATATAGTCCTTGCATCTTGCTGATTTTTGAACTTTAATCTGTCAAGTGGGATATTTTAGTATACCACATTCTTCTATGTTCAGAAATCTTTTGGAAAACTTTGTTTTTCCATAATCTGGTTCTATTCTCAATTATTGTTACAGATGTCATTATAATTCTGCTTGTATTTTTTTCTGAATTTTTTTATTAAGTTTCTTTCCATGATCTCAGGTTTTCTTAGTTTTGGCTTCTCTCTTCTTGGCAATTTTCCATCATCTGTTCTGATATGCATTATTGTTTCATCTGCTGTTTGACCTTTTACAATCTCTTTTCATATTGACCATTAACAACTTATTTGATTTCATTCTATAGTTCCTCTGGTTCCTTATAAATGATGTTCAGGTTTTGAAAGCAATTCTTGATGTTATCCTTGAAATTGGGTGATTGGTTTATGCTCAGGATCATATTGTAGAAACTCCTTGGCTTTCTTTCACTTTAGCTTGACTTGGAATTTGCACATGAGCAGTTGGATCTGCTTCACAATCATCCCCTGGCAACATTTTTTTTTCCTATTATACAACTTTTCCAATAATCGACAATAATGTAGTGTTTAATTTTTGTGTGCTGTGACTGGAATGTCCAAATGTGTAGCAGTTTTGGTTGTTTGAAGAATGTGTTAACAATAAAGAAATTATTGGATTGTCAAAAACGAAATTCTTCTGCTTCATTTTCGTTTCCTAAGGTAACACTGTTTTCCTCCTTTTCCAACTATGACATTCTAATCAATCACAAGCAGCATATTTTGTTTCCACATTCTGTTCTTTCAGATTGAACTTGATCATAAAATTTGTTAACCTTGATACTGTATCAATTATTGAAGTAAGGCTGTCCCAGAAGTGTAAGACATATTTTGTCACTGACTAGACTCAACCCCATCTTTGCTAGAATCCTATGAAAGAAATGCCATTTTTTGTTTTTGTTTTAAATTTCCTTAGTAAAACAAACACAAAACTACTCAATTCCAGATACTTCAATTCACTAATACACATAATCATGTGTAGATGATTCATTGTATGATTTCAGTGTTGAGATGTTCCATATCCATGTTTCTTATCTTCTATGTTCCCCCTGTAATTCTGTTTTCAGTTTCAGATTTTATTTTGCTACATTGCAACTTTGCCGCAACTAGATGCCCAGAACTAGACCTGGTTTCCATCTAGCCATGTCATAAAACCATTAGTAGTACTTAAAAGACCTCAACTGTTCTTAATATTGTATTTGCTATCATATGTTTAAGTGGCACTTGGTCCATGAGGCCCATCACCTGGCATTATATCATCAATCCCTTTATTCTGTCTATCCAGATGGCTTTCATGGTTACAGGAATGCCTTACCATTGCCTTTTCCCATGCAGTATGAAATGATATATTTGCAGTTGTTGCTAAAGAAATCATCCATTTCCTCTTTTTCTTATGTGACTGCTTTCATATATAAATCCCTGTCTGCTTTAAAAGGGTACCTAGGATGACCTTCACATCCCAGATGATGTAACTATATTGTATTGGCCTGGTGTTCATAGCTCATTCTCCCAGGAACAACTACACACCCACCGTGAGGCAACATAGCTTGACTTGGAGGACACACATACAGTACACATAACTGATCTTAATACAATATTTCTTTGCCTTATTTCAAATGTATTTTCAGTCTGGTATGAATAGCTACAGATTCTCAAACTAAATCCAGTTCATCAATTACCCTAAAAATGTTATTGAAAACCTGTTTTTAAGGTCAACAACTTATGGTATTGCAAATTCAAATTCATTTTATGTATGTATGTCTCAATATGTGTGTATAGAATTTTATAACAAAGCTAATTCAATATTCAAAAAATATCACTACTTTCATGGAGAAAAGAGGATACTCTAGTTTTTTATTTTGTTCTCATCTGACTTTTTATTTTCTACTTTTATTTAGTGGTTGTATTTCAAAACTAGCTTTAAGAAAATATAATTAAGTCTTTAGGCCAAACCTAAAGTAGCTTTAAGTCAGTATCAGTAGCACATCTAGAATTCTGATTAAGCAATCGTTATCCTTCTGAATAATTACTGTCATGTTCCCATTATATAAATTTTGATTGATATTCTGGCATTATTTCATTGGTTCCTATGAATTTGATATAGATTGTCTTCCATCTAAAGTCTAATCGATACAAAACTGAATGCAAGTTGTGCTCATTGATCACGGAATAGATATAAAATTATTATGCAAATTTTTAAATAAAATTGGAATATAAATAAGGAATTATGCATTCTTTATCAAAGATTCCAACTTATGGCCGCTGTTCCTCTGATGAATAACAAAAACCATTTATGGTACTGCTTTCAGTTATGCATGGGAACTGAAGAGCAGAAAGAAAGTAATGGGAGAATATAATGTTCAGAAGAGATATTAATATTCAGTTTTGTTGCATGTTGACATAATTACATTATTATGTTTGTTATGGCCAAATGTGTTTTATGGCAAACTATATGCATTATCTACACAACAAAACTTAGAGAATCCTCTGCATGTGCGGTGGATGAGAAAAAAAAAGAAACCCACATATTGTGGAGGTTTTGAAAAAAGGGATTACATAAGGATATAATAAACTTACTTATTTAAAAGATATCTGTAAACTGATGGATCAAACTATTCAGCATAATAATATGAAGGGACAGACCCTCCCCCTTTTCTCATAAAATCTCTTGGAAAATTGAGGAATCCTCTGGAGGAAAATTAAGGGAACTCATGGTTTGAATGTAAGTGAAAGTCCTATTGCAAAAAAAAAATAAGCAGCTTACATAACACTGAATGAATCATGTTAATATTTAGGCAGCTTTTTCCTTGAAATTATGGCAATGCATTCTCCTGACTAAGATCCCTTTAGAAAAACTCCATAAAATCCAATTTTATCTTTTAAGAAAAATTATTCAGACCAAGATAACCATTTGATTTTTGTTATTTGGTTTTCTCACTGTCACATGGGCAAACATGGTTATTATTTAAATATATAAGGTACATAAGAGAGGCAATTTGATATTAAGGCATCAAACTACAAATTGGGAGAGTTCCAATATCCTGTTCTGCTTTAAACACAAAGCCAGCTGGGTGACTTCGAGCCAGTTGCTTTTAGCTCTAGAAAGATAGCAGTGGCAAGCCAAGGAAACTACAGGGGCTTGTCCAGGTATCACCAGGAATTAAAACTTACTTGAAGGCACACATTTATTATCTGTCGGGCCAAAAGATCTGAGTGACCGCTATCTGGTAGCAATACAGTTAATCCCATAAATAATATCTGCTCTGTTATAGCTAAAAATTTGCTATGAAATTCCAAGAAGCAGAGGAATCCTAACCTACCTGCTATGTATGTTCCTGAATGTGAAACGGAACAATCTTATAGATCTATTGCCTTTAGATCTATGTGTATACAAATAGTGCTGTATACACTACCTTTTCAGATTCTAAATATAAAACTTTATGGTCCAAAAAGGGTTTGTTTGTTTTTTACTATAGAATCATCCTAAATAGGCAAAAGGCTCTTAACTTCGAAAATCTTGGTTTACGGTTGTAACCTAGGATGATCACCGATCATTTTTAACTAAGACTAAGCTTAATAATTTGGTACTTAATAACTTACCAACATTAAGTATTTTGATTTAAATCTTAATTCTAAAGCCCATTTTTCTATATTCAAGCAGAGACTGGTACAACCGCGCAATACTGTTCCGAGCAGCCTTTCGGACTTTTGTAACGTCGGCGTCTACTCGAAAGCTTCCAACAGAAACCCGGTTGTTCGCGACACTTATTATTCAAGACAAGTAAACGGATTACATGGAAGTCGGCCTACGCTGACATGTGAATAGTGCCCTGAGCACCATTCGTGGATTTCACGCACCCATCCTCCGAAGGGGGGGGGGGGAACGGAGGGGAGGGAGGGGGTCTGCAACAAGTACGAAGAAGAAGAAGAAGAAGAAGAAAAAAAAGAAGAACCCGAATGCGGTTCAACACCTGCTCCCGGACGGCTGTTTTATTAGGATGCAGCAGAGCTCCTCAAACCAGCCACGCATGCGTGCTCAGTGTTTATTAAAAATTCACTGCGCCACCGTCCTTCCCAAAGCCCTTCCCTCGGGAAGGGAGTAACCTGAACGACCGACTCCGAAACGGGCTTCGGTACCTGTTCCAAGCCAAGTCCGTAGGTTCTTCTCTTCCCCCTACGCCTCTTTACAGAACCACCCCAGCCCCCGCCGCCGGTATTTCGAGAAAGTTCTAGCCGCACCACCCAAGAAGAGAAAACGATCTCGACGCTTGCGCACTGACACTCACTTTCTCCGCCCTCTAATCGTAACCGTGCCCGTTATTCTTTTTTTCCCCCTCCTTCTGGTTGATGGCTATGTTAAGAAACGAGTTAAATTACTGCCGCGGAACCCCTAGAAACGCTAAGAATGGGCAATTGTGACGTCGGCCTTTGCTCCGAACTCTCCTCACCTCCCTTCGCCTCGCTAATGCTCACGACCGCACCGCGTGTCTACCCGTTCCTCTCGCCCGACTCCCGTCACGTGAATGGCGTTTCCACCAATCCGGGAGGCGAGTGACAAACCGACATACTGACGGGCTTGAGGGAGGGGGGGGGAGAGAGGCGAGGGAAAGGGGAGCGACTGAGCTGAGGGGAAGGGGTGTCGTCCAAACCCGACTGTTACCGTAGCTGTTGGAACGGGGTTGGAACTCGGGGCGCCGCTCACTGGCAGCGGGTGGCTGAGCAGCCTGGAAAGGACAGCCCGTCTTGTCAGGAGTCGTCTCTCTCTTCCGCTGAGGAAAGGTAAAGAGAGGAAGAAACTGCCAGTGTCGCTACCGCAGATTCGGGTCCGGGGAGGGGGAAGGAAGGCGGCGGCAATTACGTGGATGACACCCCCGGTTAATATCGCGCTGAGGTGAGGGGGGTTGGGGAAGAGGTGGCGTGAATAAAACCAGCCGCGGTCGTGTTTTAACGCTGCTCCAAGATTTTCTCTTTCGCTTCCTTCTGCCATATATAGATATATACGTGTCTGTCAAACTCGCTCCTTTCTGCAAATGTGGCTGTTTTTCGGTGGCACAGGGGAGAGTGTATGTCCGCCCCTTTTCAGCCCCAACCCAGTCTATAGATGGATGGGTGGATGGATGGATGGACGGACGTCGGCGTGTGTATATTATTCGTGCGTGTGTATGTCCGTGTGTGCCTCTCCGTGTGTGCGTGCTCACAAGCGCGTGTACGTGTGCGGACCCGGGTCAGTGCACAATCTACTGTGGTGCACCCCGCGAATCGCCCCTTCTTGGGGTCTTGGGTGTTGTGTGCTGAGCGGGAGTCGTTTTGCTCCGCTGTGTTTCCCCCCCCCCCGGCGCGTTTGAGAGGAAGAGAGAACACTCCTCCTGCTTCCCACCCCCTTTCTTGCATTGCCTTTCCTCGTAATGGAGGTGCTGCAGCCGGTTTGCCTTCCTAGAACGGGCACGAATCCTTCTCGGCTCTGCCGACACGCCTTCCCTCAGCCTCCAGCTTGCATTCTCTGGCACGGTCGGTCCGGAGGCAGCAATCCCCAGGCTTTCTTGCGCTCCCAGCCTGTCACCTTTGGCGCGGCTGCAGCTGGAGCCATGGCTGCCGCTGCTGTCACTACTTCTCCGTGCTTGTGGGTTGGTCCCTGATAGGCGTTTTCTCTCCGCGTTCCTCATCGTATACGATACTAAGGCTTCTGCGTTTATGGGCCAAAGTAGGGTAATTCATAGCAATCCTAGCGCTGCTAACTCCCGAGTTTTCTGGTCTGCAGCATTGTCAGCCCTTTTTAAAAGGAAGAGGCGGTGGTTAGCGGGCGCCCCCGCCCGTGAGTGTTTGCGTACATTTCTACAGGCTGCTGAGGGGGTGAAAAGAGAGAGAGAGAGAAAGCATAAGCGGTGTTTCTAGAGCTTACGGAAATAGTTATTTCCAGCATCATTCTCATGGACAGTGTGTGCTAGGAGTAAAAGATTATTTAAAAACTGCGCCTTAAGTTCAGACAAGCCGGTTAGCCTAGTTTGGTGCAACACATGTGTTTCTTCGCTGGGTCTTAAGACGGAATAAAATATTTATATCTTTCTGTTATATATTAAATAGCTTTCTGTTTCTTGCTTGACTTTTGCCAGTGCTAAAATTCTTATTTAACTTTTAAAAGTGAAACGACTTGAACATTTTAAATAAAGGAAAAGAAGCGCACTCTTTCACTAAAAATGGCCAGAGTTTTTAGAATGAGAAAAATAGCATATTGAGAATCATGGAGTTTGGTGAACGTTGATAAGAATATTAGATATTTCTATGTGCTTTTAGACAAAATGCTCTCCAAATTTGCCACAGTGAATACTTGATGCAATTATACTGAAATTATATAGTAATGAATTATGTAATTAATAAATATACCTGGAAGACAGGAAATGTTGTAGAAGATTTAATTAGCTCTCATTTGCTTCTGTGCCTCACACAAGCCATTACTTTTGGATCATACTGACTGAAAATAATTGCAGATGTCACAGATTTATAATGGT